GGCTCTGCTCCTCCCCTGACTCTTTGGCTCTGTTTAAGAGCTGAGCTGCCTGAGCGCTACCGGCTTTGGGCCGCCCCCCCGCCCCCCAGCCCCCGGCCGGCCACTCCCCTCCCCGGGCTCCGGCGGCGCAGGGCCCGGAGGCATGGGGGCTGCCCGAAGCCCAAGTGCTACCGGCTTCACGGTTTGCCGGGCAGCCCCCAGACCCTGCGCCCCCGGTCGGCTGCCTGGCAAACCGTGAAGCCGGTAGCACTTGGGCTTCGGGCAGCCCCTATGTCTCCGGACCCTGCGCCGCCGGAGCCCGGGAAGGGAAGTGCCCGGCCGGTGGCTGGGGTCCGGAGGCAAGGGGGCTGCCTGAAGCCCATAGCGCTCGGGCAGCTCGGCTCTTAAACAGAGCCGAAGAGTCAGGGGAGGAGCAGAGCAGCCGCGGGAGGGGAAGTGCCCGGCTGGCATTTTCCCGGACATGTTCGGCTTTTTGGCAATTCCCCCCGGACGGGGGTTTGATTGCTGAAAAGCCGGACATGTCCGGGAAAAACCGGACGTATGGTAACCCTAGTTTTTCTGCTTCAGGGCTTGATCTAATTCTCATTGCCTGCTCTCAGTGAGAGGTGGGACAGGTAAAAAGGTTTTTTGAAATGCTCTGAAATATCTTGCTGAAGCTTAGTAGTATGTATTACAATAGTATCAAGCAGCTCCTAACTAGGGATCCAGGCCTACTGTGCTAGCCGCTGTACACACATAGTTAAAAGTTGCCCCAAAAAAATGATATCCTAAGACACCAATTCTGTCCTTAGTTGTGTTTAGAGTGGAACTGGCAACTGATTCAGGGTGCAGTGTTAATGGAAGACCCCAATCCTGCAAACAATCTGGTACATGCTTAATGTTACTCACATGAATAGAAGCATTTAGGATTATTCACATATGTAGGTGTTTGCAGGGTGAGGGTAAAAGCAGTATTTGTTTTGTATGCTAGCTATTTGCAAGTAAAAGTATTCAAAGTGCACAGAAAAATACATTTTTTTGTTAAGAAAACCAGCAAAAGCAAAACCGGGGTTGGAGGGGGGAGAGAAGGAGTTCTCTTACCATTTCCAAATTGGATTACTTGTAAAGATAGTGCCAAGCTTAAAAGACACCTAAAACACAAAATGATACATATCAGGGAATGCTGATCTCACTAAAAAGAAGTTAAATTATACCATCAAAGGAGCAATAAACCTAGCATTTATTATGCTCAACAATCCTGGAGCAATATAGGGTTTGAGGAAGGGAAATCAACACCTACTTACTACTACATTGATGAATACAAAAGAAAATGATAGCTATAGAGAAAGATAAAATTGAAGTTAAGGATCTTAAATATAAGATTTTATAAAATGTCAATACACTTCACTAGAATGAATGAACACTGGCATTTTCCAGACTGACTATGTATATAAAGTAGCATTAGCTTACCTAATAAGCAGCATTTTTCCTCAGGTCAGTCTGTATTTCTTTCCTTTCCTTACACCTGAAATCCCTCTGATGTATTTTTCACACCACAGTCCACACAATGAAGAACTCTTTCTGACAGAAGGCAGACTAAAGCTACTCCCTGCACACCTCAGCTCACAGGGTAATGCTTATCCCCCTGAGCTTTAACACTGAGTTGACACTGTATGTATTCCCTGGCTCCCTGCAGGAGGTCACTTACAATTAGCACCTTCCTACTCTCTCCTCCCACCTCCTCACTTGACCTCTTCTCATTAACTCAGCAATTTGCCAAGAGGCCAGAGGGGTGATGTTATACAGGCCCCATTATGGGATGGCCTTGGGGCACCATAGTTAAGGTTGAACTGAGCTTTCAGTTAAAAGCTAATTTTCAAAGTGCTCTAATATCCACATGCACACTCAGATTGTCTTGAAAATTTCTGTGCATCATCAGGATGCAGGATGATAGGGTGCAAATTTGGAGTCTTTCGATCAAGATATAGAGCCCAGAAAAAATTAAAATGAGTCCGAAACCAGCAAAGGGACCATATTTGGAGTTTTTGTATGTTAGTTTTTGTGTAATATGCTACCTTGTTTGGGGCCTTTTAAATATTATATACAATATTTTAATGGTTGGCAATTTATTATTTAACTGTGCAGTCCGATAAGGACCTTGACAGATAAGGGGCAGATCTTAGTGACACAATAATAATGTATTATTTATTAGATTATAAAATGTGCATATCCCTAAATAAGTGCTTGTCTACATGTAGAGTGTCATGGGTTTAACTTAAGATGTGATTTTAAACAGATTTAGTTACACTTGTGCAAAAGGCCATGTAGACACACTTGTTTCTGTTTAAACCATGCTTTATTTTGGTTTAGTTTAAGGAATAGGTTTGAATGAAACTGAAATAATTCCACACAGGGATTTGCACCAGTTTGACTAAATGAGCGCAAGCGTGTTTGCAGAAGACCCTCCATGCTCTATATTAGTGGAGGCCTGTTGCACTTATTGGGTGTATACCTATCTTGAAGTGGTTTCCTGTTATTTCAGCTGCAGTATTGCCAACCAAAGCATTTATCATTCATGAATTCAGACCCCAATATTGTTGTTGCTTTAAAAATTATATGATTTTAAACAGTAATAAATTTGGAACTCTTTTTTGCTTTCTGGTGATTGAGCTTTCAAGGTTCATATTTTCCAACTTTTCTCTGCAACAACAAAGGCTAGAAACTTAATTTGTATTAAATGAAGGCTAAAATTCTCATGTTATCCAGGAGCGTAAGCTTTAACAAAAATCACAAACATCATGAGGTGTGCAGTAAAATTGCAAGAAGTAGAAACTCTGCAACTGTGCCTCAGAAATAAACCAAACATTTTGAAGTTTCCATTTCAAGTAAGTTAGTTAATATAATGGGGCCACTGAATTTCTGTTAAAAACAGGAGCTGGTGTGATAGTCTTGTCCAGTTTGTTTTTGCCTTCAGAGTTCACTGGTGAAAGAGAACCTATGTAAAGGAATAATAAGGAAGGAGAAATTTACAGTACTCACTAATCTCACAAAGCAATTCATTTTTCTTGTAATGATTCCCTCCCTAATTGACTCCCAAAATTGATCCTCTCTCTCACCATGATTCTGCTCTCTCACACATATACAAGTGGCCTATAAACAATGATCTTCATTAGCTTTCTGCATTTAAAAAAAGAAGTTTACAGCCTAAGGAGAGTCAAAGACTTGCAAATTGAAGTAATATTTGTTTCCATGAACTTTGACTCAGGATAATGATGGTAAACAATAATTAGTACCTGATATTTATAGATCTCAAACTATGGGCCACTTATGTGAGTGGTTCCATTCATTTCAATGGGATTAATCATCACAGATAAGGTGAACAGGCTCCTGCAAAGACTTAAGCACATGCTTAACTTTTCATACAGAGGAGTTCAACAGTGCGTATAAAGTTAAGCATGTTCATGAGGCCATGTCTACGTTATGGGCACTATAGTGTCAGGGCATAGCTACTGCACCATAGCTATGCCGCTGCAATCTCATGGTGTACGCATAGGAAAGTTTTTTCCCCTCTCTGTAGAAACTCTGTCTCCCCAAGCAATGGTAGCTTAGTTGACAGAAGCATTCTTCCATTGAATTAGCTGCATCTCCACCAAGGGTTAGGTCAGCATAATTATGGTGCTCAAGAGTGTAGATTTTTCACACCTCTGAGCACCAAAGCTATGTTGGCCTAAGTTTTAAGTGTAGACCAGAACTCAGTTTTTGCAGCACTGGGATCTTAGCCACTTCTGGGTGGAAGTACATAGCAAACATGCACCATAGCTCAGAACAGAAAGTGAAGAATAGCAAAGGAGTAAAGAAAGTGAAGAATGTATCTGAATGTCCAGGGAGAATTTTAGATAGGCAGAATGCAATTATTTGAGTGTGAATTCATCCGAGACGCTAGGCCTAACAGTCCTATCTCTTGTTAAAGTGTTAGAGGAGCGGTAATTACCACAAGCTGTCTTTGGTTTTACTTTTCTTCCTCTGAAAGAGGAAAATTCTGAAAAGCAGGATAACTATGTCAATGAGGGGGTGATTTTTACTGAAGTAATTATATCAGTACAAGCCCTAATATAGGCACAATTAGATCAGTATTAAGCTATTTTATATTTCCCTTCCTGTACTGAAATAAGCTGTACCAGTATAAAACACATTTATACTGAAATAACTCCTTGATGGTACAACTTTCTAATGTTAGAGAAGGTCTGAGGGCTTGTCTACACTTAAAAAGCTACAGTGGCACAGCTTCCCCATTGCAGCTGCACTGCTGTAGCGCTTCAGTGTAGACACTACCACGCTGATAGGAGGGATTCTCCCTTTGGCATAGGTAATCCACCTTCCTGAAAGGTGTAGCTAGGTTGACCGAAGAATTCTTCAGTTGACCTAGCACTGGACTTTAGGTTGGTTTAACTATTCAGCTCAGGGGTATGGATTTTCCACACCCCTGACTGACATAGTTAAACCGACCTAATTTTCTAGTGTAACCCGGCTTCTGAGTCCCTTTTTTTTGTGGTTTAACTTAATGCATTTTAGAAGTAGATTAAACTAAACCACACAAAAGGCATTTTGGATGCAGAATAAGAGCATCCACATGGGAAGCTAGTGGCGGAATTCTGCAATAGCTTATTCTGGGCTATTTCCTCATGTAGACAAGCCCTGAATCTCCTACTCTTGAAGATGCAAAATAATTATGTAGTGACTGTCACAAGCCCTCAACAACATATTGCTAATGGAATGGTTAATGTGAAGTGGTTGTGGTTAGCTAATGAATAAACTTTGACTGTTCCAGATATTTATTACATAGATTAAACTTTTTTTTTTTGTATTTTCTCTTCTTTTGTTTGTAGCTTAAGTTTGCTTAGATCAGTGTCTGAAGGTTATTCATTTTTGACCAATTGATCAGACATTGTTTTCAGATATCTACATTTATTATAAAGCTTAATAAAAATAAAATTGAAAAACTTCACTGATGGATTTGTTGGAGATGCTGCTGATGATGTTAGAATGGAAAATGCATCTCCTTGTTTTCTCTTCTGAATTATGTTACATTTGATTTTAAATGCAGCAACATGGTGAAAGCTGACATTTCTGGAGGGGTTCAGTACAATTTAGCAGCTCGTTAAAAGCTAATAGCTCTAAGGTGTGCCTGGGACTAGCAAAACAATTAGCACCAGGAACCCTTGACTTTGCTATTGTTGGGGTCTATTATCATGTTGCCATTTCCTTGGTTGTATGAAACCAGTGTGGTTTCTCAGAGGCATAGATTAAATCTCAAGAGAATTACATCACAATAGTTAACTCATTCATTATTATTTCAGCTCCATCAGTACGAATTAATAGATTCCCTTAATGCACTTGCTTTTTAAATGAGTTTTACTGCTTAAGAAAGTATTTAATCTTCCCCCTCCTTTTTAGTGTGGATTTATTACCAAGGACACTATCAATTCAGTGTATTGCTATGGAATAGCAGCCTAATAGCAATGTAAATGTAAACTCTAATAGCTGCATTATAATCATAAACTTTGCATGCTGTACCCAGTTATTTGCATGAAAGCATAGTGTATAAAGGAAGTTTAAGTGGAACATGTTCTGAATATGTCAACTGGTGTCTAGAGAATCATAAGACATGCCCCTGCTTACAGAACACAAAAAGATCAAACAATTGAAGGATGATCTTATGACTGAATTTTAGGAAATTTGGGTTCTGTCCTTGGCTCTGATACAGATTTCCACTTTGACATTGGACAAGTTACTTCACTTTTCTGTACCTCAGTTTCCCATCTGTAAAACTGGGATAAAAATGCTTGCTTGCCTCACAGTGGTATTGTGAAGTGTCATTAATGTATGTGAAGTGATGTGCATCGTTAGAGAAATCTATAAATTAACAGTAGCTGGCAAATAAGTTGTATAAATCAGTGGTTCAAAAAACTTTTGTACTGGTGACCCCTTTCACATAGCAAGCCTCTGTGTGCAACCCCCCCCCCCCCTTATAAAAATCTAGCTCATTTAAATTGCTTCTTATACAGAATTAGGTTCTGAAGGAAAGAGATGCTCATAAGCTGTTTAGGCCTCTTAAAGTTACCTTTTCGAAAAGCTGGTAAACCCCATTCACTTTCTGTGGGAGAGCTGATGTTTACCAGTGATTTAAATATCAGTTGATGCTTTATGGACAATGCAAATTCAAGCAAAAATTAATTGAATATTTACTAATAATTGATCAGAATAATAAATATACTAGTCAAGTTTCAATGGAAGGTATAAATGTCTTGTTTTTCAAAAGCTGACTGTGCTACAGAGAGGTCATGTACGGACCAGACAAAAAATAAAATGAGTGAACTTCCTGCTAATGAAACATTGCCCAAAGACCACTGGGATAGGGCTCAATTATGCCTCTGCAGAAACAGAGGGGAGGAGAGAAGGGCACATCATCTTAGCAATGGTGCCTTGGAGGCATATCTTTTACAGGTATAATGCCTCCTGTGGGCTGATGGAGCACAGTGCAAAGTAGGGAGGGCACTATGCCTTTAAAAGTAGTAGCAAGCCCAACATACAGTACAACCATTCCAGTGTGTAGAGAAGGGAGGAAGCTTGTGGCCACCCAGAAATGTTTTGTTACATGGAGGGCTTGATCTTTAAAGGAAAATCAGGCTCAGCACCCATCTGAGTTTTCCTCCCAGGTTATTGGACTTGTAGTACAGCGATCAGGTAACTC